AAGAATATTTGCGACTTTTCGAAACAGGTTTAACTTCATTTATTCCGTGTTTTCTTTTCAAATGTACGGTTAAACTGATACTTTTTCCACATGCAAAATTACAGAGATTGCAAGTGTAGTCGCGTTTTTCAACTTGTCCAAATACAGATTTACTGTACTTCAGTAAATCCAAGTTTTTAGAGTATCCATATTTTTTTCTTGAGCATTTGATCCCTGGAATAGAACGTTTGACATTGTGGGACAATCTGTGTCTATTCAACATCGTTTTCAAAGGAAACTTCATTCCACAACGATCACAATTATGGTACTTTATAATTGCATTTCCTTGAGCACTAATGCAATGTTCCCCCGTTTCTTTCTTGACAGATAACAATGATGACATTGTGTTTATTTGATTCTCCACTGTTCTTGATATAGATGAATATTGCAATTTGATGCTGTGGCAATCATGTTGTAGTAATATAAGAGAATCCTTTTCTTCAGCTGGTTGTCCAAGTTTATCCATTTCTGGATTCTCCATTATAAAATTTTGGTCTCTAAAACAGAATGACAAAACAATGATTATTATCTTGTGAAATTATATGATGTTGATTACATATTGAGACATTACTTACTCCGCGACTATAAGAGCCAATTGTGCAAAATAATTGTCGATGAGATCGTTTAACAAAAAAAAATTATAAGTAATTTCTGTTTGTTATACTCAGTTTTCAGAATCGATCACTAATTCTTAAGAGAAATCATACATGTATAAAATATATATATTTAATTTATATCATTACACACATAAATATAAATACATACGTAGAGATATTTAAGATAAGACAAGTATTATGATTTAAATATATATCTATGTACAATTGTAATATTTATATTATAAAATACATCATATAAGCCCATTAACTAATTTCTATGTTGATTTATTAAATAATATAAATATTATTGATAAAAGAAATATTAATGAAAAGCATTATTAAGTTACAATGTTCGATTTAGAATCAATATTGGCTTCTAAAATGTTTCTATTTTTTTCAAAATGGTATAGGAGGTGAGGATAAATGAGAATCTGGATGTTTTCTTCGATGTTCAATCATGTAGTATCGTCTTTTGAAAGCTTGTCCACAAAGATCACAAACATGAGGCCTGTCCGCCGAATGTGTTAATAGATGCGTGTTTCTCATGTGAGATGTACGAAAGTTCTTCTTACAAATTTGACAAACGTAAGGTTTAACACCCGTATGAGTGGTCGTGTGTGTAGCCAAATATCTTTTTGTTACGAAGATCTTGCCACATTCTTTACACTCGTACGTTCTATCGTGTTGACGCATATGATTGTCAAGATTTTCCTGAGTTAAAAGCCTTTTGTTGCACACATCGCATTGAAAATTGTATTCATTCAAATGAGCAACCTTTCTGTGTTTATAGAGCGAGTAATCACTAGTGTAGAACTTTCCACAAATATCACACATATGTCGTGAATTACTATGAGTACCAATATGAAACTTCAAATCCCATTCCATTTTGAAGCGTTTGCCACAGTGTTCACATGCGAATTTGTAATCATCGGTATGTCTTCTAATGTAATGAGATTTTAAATTATTTTTCGTTTTCGTACGATAGTCACACTTGTCACAGCAGTGAAGCAAACTGATATCCAAATCCTGATGAATCAATTTATGTGCCTTCAAATCACATTTGTATTTGAAAGATTTATTACAGCCATTGCACTTGAATGGCCGATGAAAGCTATGCTTACTCATTATATGTCGTAATATCTTGCTCTTTTGCTCAAATATTGTTTGACAAATGTCACACGTGTAATTACCATCGTTCCGTTTCTTGTAAAGAACTTCTTGATTAGTACGTTTTTCATTACTTGCTGATTGCGATTTATTATCGTTTTCAGTATCTTCTTTTACACGATTTCTTTTCGTTTTCAGTGTGCTTGATGACCTCAACATTTTTATCGCTGTTTTACGTTCGTACCGAAAACTGATGCTTTTAATATGAGAATCCTTTGAATAGGAAGTTTGTGATTCGTCCAGACATTTCTTAACATTCCATTTCGTGCGTATTGCCGAATTTCTTCTTTTGACCAAACTTCTTTTGTCTAATTGATGAATCGATTTCCTAAAACAAGAATTATCAACATCAGTATATGTATTCTAAAAAAATTGCTACATCATATGATTAGAAATATTAGCATCGTTTTCCAGAAATAAAGAGTATTCTTCTTATGATAAGGACGTTTTCTTACATTCTGAAAATAGCAAGTACATTAACTTTCTTATATTAATAAAATACATTTTTAGTATCTGCAAGTAAAGGTTTAATGAAACACATCAAATGTGTTAATCATCCTCTTGCTCATATTTATTTTCATCTACAATGAAAATTTCATATTGCACTACTTAAATCGTTAAAGTCAAAATATAAATATTAAAATCTTTTTAAATGCAAGAGAGAATATACAGAATTACCAAAGTTTACAAAAAATATAAAAATATAAAAATATAAAAAGATTGTTCTTTTCTTTGAAAAGGCATCTGAGTTAGAGTAATTACTATATACTTATTTCTTTTTATTATGAATTAAACGTTCTCTGTTTTTTCATTTCATATAACACTCTCAAAGATGTCCTTAATGGACATTAATGAAGTAACCTCTGAATAATCAAGATGTTTTTTTCCTCATTATCCAAAGAATATTGGTCGTTAAGTGAAATTTTATCAATTTTAAATTCTATTCAAACTTATATATACATATATAGTATCTTAAATATTTTTTGTTTGTAATAATTATTCTACCGTACAAGTAGTAATTCAATTACTTACACTATATGCTATTGGTTTTAGTACATTTCTAACTATAATTTTTTACGATAAAAATACAGAAAAACAAAATCAAAATAAGAAATAACACGGAAAAAAAATATAACACGGATATAAGAAAAAGAAATACTTTAAAAGCTTTTTTTCTCAAAATTGGCTGGACAATGGATAAAAATATTTTACCACGATAACACCTTAAAGGTATACTACTGATATACCAAAGCTCGTTAAAATTCATTGGTACTCCAGTGTAATGTCTCCTTGTTGGAAAAATTTTAATTGATTATTAGCTAATATATAAGATAAAAAAAGATGATATTTAAAAATGACATAAAGGTGATTTAAGATATTATTATTATTATTTTTAGACGGCGTTAGGAACTCGAAAGCTCATTGTCACAAATACCAAATCCCGCTAATGCTTCCATTCCTGAGCAAGATCCCTCTATTCGCGATCCTCGTACCCCATTTCGTCAAGATCTATATCTAATATTATCTCTCCACCTACGTCTTGGTCTACCCCACATTTTTAAATATTACAGCAATAAATCAATAATTCGAACATTCTAAAATGTCAAATTTTTTTTGATTAATTTCTTTTTAGTCCTTTTTTTATAGAATTTCTTCTACCAATAACAATATTTCCTTTTCTCGTAATTTAATTTTTTTAAATCTCATGTAATGCTTTGTGCTTCAAAAAAGAACCTTGATATTTAAATTTCGCTTTACAGATGTCTCATGAAAAATTAAGCGAATGTCGTAGCTTATGTTTTTTGAGAACAGAAGCATTTTTGAAAGACCATTTACAATAAGGACACTGATGATTACATATAGATTTATCTCTCTCATTTGCTCTTAAGATTTTATCGTTCCAACCAATAGGTAATGGATTTCTAATGAGCTTACTATTCTTATCAATATTGTTCATAGGATAAATATCTTCCAAATACTTTTTTAAGACATGTTTTATATGCATATGTCTCTTTACATCTCTTTTGAAATTATAGTTCTTCGGGCAATATGAGCAACAAAATCAAACTACTACTTCATCTCTAACAAGTGCATCCTCTGATGAGATGCAATCAATTTGGTAATGCTTCTTCCTTATATGTCTTATTAAATCTTTTTTGTGATTATAGAGATTGGGATACTGCGGACAACAGCATCGAGAAATTCTGAAATAAGTACTTGTTACGTTTTCTTTCCTTGCAGATTTGAATTCACAATTTTTACAATAACGCTTCTCAGATTTGGAGCCATTTATTTTCATATGAAGTTTTGACGACTTTTTGTTCTTCAACAAAATATTACACATCGAACACTTGTAGAAATTCTTATAATAGTGTGTCATTATGATCCATCAGGTGAAACTGCAGGTCCAAATTTGTGTCAAAAAACCTCTTACACACGTAACATATAAATACATCGGTCACATTCGTTTTCGATTGTTCAAAATGCTTGGTAGTTAATGGATTTGGCACATCTGGAATAATACATTCATCTGCAGGTTCTACTTTTATTTCGATTACGGCTTTTTCCGAGTTCATTATTTGTCCATTTATCGATAACGAGTTGTTTATCGTTATTGGTACTGCATAGTACTCATCAGTTCCGTGTATTAAGAGATAATTTTGCTCGAGTGGATCTTGGACTGCGAACCTAAAAAATTAGGATATATTACTATTAATTTCGTTAGAAAAAAGAAAATATACTTAGTAAATTAATTTATCTATATATGCAATAAAAAATAAATTGTATATATAGATAAATATTCTTACTAAAACAATAAATTTGTGTATATGTATATTAATACACATATACAAATATACGTAGATAATAGAGAAAGGGACATAAATTCTCTTACGTCAGAAATTTTGTCAATTGGATTATCTTAGGATCAGAGAAAGATACCAATTCGAATTATGCCGAAGATCACAAACACTTTCCTCACTTACAATTCGAATAGTCGAATAGCTGTAGAGCAGCTGTAATAAATCTATTTTGTAAATTTTATTGTTATATTAAAAGTAAGTGTATTCAAGTGCACTGTAAAAATTGTAAAAATCATAATAATCAATTTCATTATTTTGAACATAAAATATTATAAAGATTTCCTATTATATTTTATAATTTTTCTAAATAATAATAGCGAATAGTTATAGGATATAGAGTATTTACAAAATTATATTTTATATATAGACCAATGTATTTACAATAAAATGATCATCGATGGCAGGGTACGAGCAAATATCGCAAATGATATCTTTTTTAAAAATCTTATTTTTTTATCGACTTATTCACGTAAGAAGATATAATATTCCACTGTTTGTATATAATAAAAAATAATAAATACAAACATAAAAAATCGTAAAGATATTCGACAATACAATTATTTTTGCGATAACAGTAAATATTATTTTCATTTATCAAAAACACATACATTTAATTCAAATACATATCACATAAATTCTATGCTGTACATTGCATCATCCCAGAGAAATATATTTTTTTAAAACATATTTTACTGATCCTTTTTTTCTTTATACGCTAGAGAAAATAAATTTACATTTTATGTATATGTAGCAAAATATAAAAAGTCATGAATTAAAAATTCACAAGTCATTAGAAAATATTATAGTTTTAGAGCGTAGGTTTAAATAAATTTGTGACGATTTAATGAAAAAAAGAATTAAGTAAAAAAAATCTTAAACTTTGAAATTACGAATTACTTATCTGCATCTTAGTTTTTTTTCTAAGCAAGTTTTTTCTTTTTGTGTAATTTTCAGTTAATAAACGATGCTAATAAATAGATCATAATAATTTTTAAAGACATTAAGCTTAATTTACATACATAATGAACTTTCTTTGTGCGTTTATCTCGTTGAGAAAAAGATATTACAAATCTTATTTTACATTCGTGTTTATGATGATCTTGTCTTGTACACCGTGCAATAGATTAGTGATTTTGATTGGAGGTGGTGGTGGATGCACACCAGGATGTTTTCTTCTATGCAACATCATTGGAGATCTCTGTGTGAAACTTTGACCACAAATATCACAAACGTAGGGACGTTCACCAACGTGTTTGAGCAGATGAATTTTTTGGGAACTCAAACAACCAAATGTTTTCCCACAAATCGCGCAGAGATAAGATTTTTCACCAGAATGTGTTCTCAAGTGTTTTGTTAGGCCATATTTAAATTTAAATTCCATTCCGCATTGTTCACAAACATATTTCATCTTATGTAACTCTGCATGATTATCAAGATTCTTTTGACTTTTAAATTTCTTTCTACAAGTAGAACACTCGAATTCCTTGATTTTGGTCTTATGTTTGTAATGTTTATGAAAGTAGAGAGAGCTTTTGCTTGGATATGAAGATCCACAGATATCACAAACGCAAGATTCAGTATCATGATCCTTCATATGCGTAGTATAGTCTGATTGAACTTTAAACATTTTTCCACACTGTTCGCAACTGTAATTGTAATCCTCCGTGTGTTTACGAATATAATGAATTTTAAGATATGGCTTTGTTCTCGCTTTGAAATCACACAATGTGCATGCATGTAATTGTGCCGGTTCGTCGTGTATTTCCATGTGTCTTGATAAATAAGCACCAGTTTTAAATCCTTTCGAACAAATTCGGCACTTATGAGGCCTCGAATTGCTGTGTTTGAACATATGACTGGTGAGTTTGCTCTTGCGATCGAAAGTAAAGTGACAAATCTCACAGGAGTATGGCTTTTTTTTTAATCTAACCAATCTATCAGACTTTGTTTTCAAATTCTTTTCTTCGCACATTTTTCTAAAATCAAGAGGAGTATCGTCCAAATCATCCGTAATATCAATATTTTCTTTAATACGTTTTTGTTTACTTCTCGTTTGTATAGAACTATCACTGTTCTTTTCTTTCACTACACTTTTCTTTATAGAATCATTTTCGTTTGGGTTTGGTTCCTTCATCATAAAAACGCTTAAAGATTTTGGAATGCGAAAGTAGTCATCTCCCAATTTCACTGTGAGAAAAGATGGACCGAGTGAGTTGAGTGAGTTACACCTAAAAACATTTCAAAGCCAATTTTCCAATCAGTGATTATTCTAAAGATTAATTCATCTGATTTATCGTCATATATGTGTTGATTTCTTTTACAAAAAATTAATATCATATCTAGCATGTGACAATTAACAAAAATCTCAGTTTTCACTTTTTATTTCTTTAGAAGAAAAAAATGAAATTTCTTATACTTCAATCATCCTACCTTTCGGATTGAGCTGCAATATTACTTGACGATGCATTAGGAAGTTCTACTGTATTATCATCACTGATATTCTGTGCTCCATTCTGAGTAGATGCTATGTAGAATGGCTCATTACCCACCGTCATCGTTACACGTGGTTGGATGTATAAAGGATCGTTGTTATTGGTCATCCTAAAACAATGAAACGTAATTAGAATCGAATGATCACAATTTTATTTTCATTTTTAAATCATGCGGTCAATGGACTCACAACTATCTGCAATTTTTTTTTATAAATTATGATACTTCTTACACTTATATATAAGTGTATATATATAATATAACATATACATATATATAGTATATATATACTATATATATATACTAATATATACATATACATTTATAATACTCATTATAATTTCACAGTAGTAATAAGAAAACTTACACTTAAAATGTTTATTATTCATATAGAAATGTAATACTTGCAAGAAAATCACCATGTTTTTGTCATATATGTATTATCAGCAATCTATAATATAAATATATACACATTTAATTTTATTTTATAATACATATCATTTAACAATATATAACACAAATAGAGTTCATATAATACATACACAAAATAACATTTTATAACTGTTCATTCTTATATTTTATTTTTATGCATATCTATAATCACATGTATGTTTTTTTCAAAAAGTCTGAATACTTTTATGAAATATTTATATATGTTACGGTCAATGTAGAAAATCCAGGTATTGTATAGAATACTCAAAGGCAATCTAGGATATATGCTTAGGTTGGCTATGTTAAGAACATTGTGAACAAATTTTTAAATTTCCATAGTTTATTTCAGTTACACGAACTTAAAAATACTTCTCCCTCCCCCTTAACATAACCAACTGAAGCATACATTCTAAATTGACCAAAACCCTCTAGGTATTCTAGAGGTTGGCCGGGCAAGGTACGAAAAATATGCTCAAAATATATATTGCCAAATCTTAGTGGACATTCTATACAATGCTCAAATTATGTACATTGACCGTAACACATACATATATATATATCCAACTATAAATTGTAAAATTGTAACCCTAACTATAATCATACATGATAACTAACATGAGTTTCATACTGTACATCTTCATTTAAGCACTTGTGGTGAAAAAAGGAAAAATATTACACTTCGAATAATCCTTATGCAAAAATTAATTAAATTGTTTGATATATTTAAACTTATTAATTGTTAATTAGACCATTTAAAAATGATTTTGATTTCATCAATCTATTTTTTTTCACAAGTTTTGGTTACATTTAAAATATAATAAGTTATCAAGGAATATTTCTTCATAATTCATTTTGAACGAATTTTTAATTTAAAGGATAAAATAAAAATTGACTAACTTTAAACGTATTTGTATGGATCAACAAAAAAGAAGTTTTCTTATTAATAAATTCTTTGTTATATAAAATTTAAATATCTACAGACTTGAAAAAAGACGAAATCTCTTCTTTTTTTCTGTCACTATTAATTGATTCATTGTGTAGTATACAGACACACAAATACAAGGAATATTATTCTGTATAGATTAAAATTTTAAATAAAAGTAGATTCAAAAATATATATATATTTCTCTTTAAAAAATAAATTATTCAAATCGAAGCACGTTTCTATGGAGAGAGACTCGTAAACGTGTATGCACGTTCAATGAGATGTTTTGTTTATCTGACCGTTTTGAAATTTCTGCATATAACTTCTGGCAAGTTCAGCAATTTGTGGACTGGGTAAGACCAGCGGTGGAAGTGGTCCTGGATGATTTCTACGATGTCTTAGAAGGCTGGATCGTTGCGTAAAATCTTCTTCACAGATGTCACACTTATATGGTCGGATTCCAGCATGAGTTAGAACGTGTTGGTGAAAATTGCTAACGCATGTAAACACTTTTTGACAAAAAATACAAGTAGAACTACTTGGTCTACTGTGTTTAAAACGTTTATGACTTTTCAACTCTCTACTTCCAATAAAACTTTCACTACAATCTGTACACTTGAATCCATTTTCGTGTTGCAACAAATGTCTATCCAATCGACTTCTATGACAAAATTTTTGAGGACAGAGATGACAAGGAAAATTGTAGAGCTTCTTATGAGCCTTCCTTTGATGAATATATTCGTGTCCCTTAACATCTCTTACCTCCTTACCACAATACCGACAAATTTGTAACTCAAATGGATGAGCTTTCTTTATATGATTCGTTAAATCTATCTTTAACTTATAACTTCTACCACATTGTTCGCAAACAAAAACTGGATTATTCCTGTCATGAGCACGTATATTATGCCGTTTCAAACCACCCTCGCTTTTATACTTCACATGACATTCCATACACTCGAAGAAATAATCTGGTCTATGTATCACCTTGTGCACATTAAGAGCAGTCTGTGTATTGTAAGATCTCTTGCACATGTCACACTTGTATTGTTTTTGATGGACTACCATTACGTGCCGTTCAACATTCTGTTCATTACTAAATTGTTTATCACAGAATGGACAAACATTCCGTATTTTATCCAATAAATCAACTTCGACATTCTCTTTGCAAATTTGTACTGAAGAATCCATTGTTGTCCTCTTTCTTATCAATGTATTTGTTTCTGAAATCGATTCACCGGCATTAACAAATTGGAAAATCACAAATGTACTTTCCTGATGCTCTCTTTCCTCTTCTTCTTCTTCTTGTTCTTCTTCTTCCTTCTCATCCTCATCTTTCAAATCTTTCAAATCTTTCATATCTTCCTCTTCCTTCTTTTTCTTAATATCCATTGTTTCTTCTTCTTCTTCTTCTTCTTCTTCTTCTTTTGATGTTTTTTCTCTTTCAACGTCTCTTCTTTTTCTCTGCTTCCTGATATATTTTTCTCTGAAACAAGTATACACACAGTTAATAGAATAAAAATCACCAAATTAGAGGGAAAAAAAATAAGTCTTAACATGCAAATATTAAAAAAGAAATCAAAATTTCGTATATGTACACGGGTACAATTAATTTTATTTAGCCTTTACGTCCAATCTTTCTTTCTTATATGTGAGTATCTGAAAAAAGAAAATTAATATATTTTGTAACGAAGAATATCATTTTTGTTTCAAATTCTACCTATTTTACTATTTATTATTCTAAAAACTTTAGAAAAATTTTGAAAAAAAATAAAAAAAATAAAATTAATACATATTAATTAATAAAGAAAAATGGTATCCTTTCTCTCTCTCTCTCTCTCTCTTCCTCTAATAGATTTATAATGAATAGAAAAATATTTTAAACCATTTCACAATAAAATCAATCGATTTTGTCAACAAAAAAATATTTAATGTACTTTTACTTCTATTCAAATTATTCTTGCCTGAATACTTCCTTGGATGTTGAAAATTTCATTGTCCATCTATAATTTCATTTAATAATATATTTCGAATTTCTTTTAATAATTTATAAGTTATAAAATCAAATATGCTTTAACATTGCATTGCTAGAAGTTTTATTTTCATTCGTTTTTTCTGTCATCTCATTTCAGATTACATCACGAAAAATGAAAAATATTATATATTCCTTTTAGTACTCAATTTTATTTCTTATTTTCTTTACAGTAATACTATGTGATTACATATTCTTCTCGATATTTCTTCTTATTAGTCCTCAATAAATATCAATTATCTGAAACATCCAATTAATTTAGTAAATAAAAAAAGGAAATAGAAAAGATAATACAATCGTAATAATATGTAGAAATAATGAGAAGCTTACTCTTATTAGGAATTTTTCCTAGGATCTACCAACCTTTTTTTTTAATAAATCTGGGTTTGGCCTGAGAAGATTTTCATAATTTATTTAATAATCTTTTTTCTTCTTTTCTCCTTTTCTCTCTCTCTCTCTCTCTCTCTCTCTCTCTCTCTCTCTCTCTCTCTTTCTAAATCTATATATATATAGTTTTATTTGTTTACTTTACATAACTTACTTTATACAAAGCTAGGGGAAAAAATTGAAAATTTCTAATTGACCAAACAATGATGGATCTTTAACAAAATTGTCTTAATTACTTGTGTGTGTGTATGTGTGTTAATCATACAAAGTATTTCAAATTAAAACTTTGCAGTTTTCTTCTTTTCTTGGCAAAATAATATTAAGTACAACGTAAATTAGTTTTTCCTTTACTTCAGCGCAAAAAAGGGCTTATTTAACTTTGCATTATTATTTATATTGATAAACTGATATACCTTACATCATCATCGTAACTATGTAACTATTAAATCTAAACTTCTGTACATACATTCAAATATGTCAATTTATGAATACTTTTACTCACTTATACAATACTTTAGTGCCATTCCTTATTCACTCCTTTTATCATACACTATGCGAATTTATATAATAGTATAAAATCTTGTGACTGCTTTGAGTTATTAACCATTCTAAAAGCATACATACATCACTCTTAACATACATTCGACTGATCACTAGCATGAACGAAATTTTTATTTATTTTTTACGTATTCTAAATAATAATAATTATTATAATAATAGTAATATAATAATAATAAATTTTTAATACATAATGAAAATCAAGTGCACCCTGTTTAACTCTCTTCGTTGTGTCATTGAAGGCATGTTGAAATATTCTTTTTAATTCTTTACTAATTTTAAAGAGATTTTAATTTTACATAATAGTTCAAAATTAACACAATTCCTCTTTCTCTCAAAGAATATGTATTATTCCTTCCTTTCTTCCATTCATCCTTTACACTTTATTTTTCCCATTTGGAATTTCTTTAATTTCTGATATATACAATAATCGATGAATTACTCTTCAGGAAGACTCAAGAAGATAAATTATTTTCATAATGAAAGCATTCTGTGATATAAGCATGTAATCATAATAACAATAGTAATAATAATAATAATAATAATAATTGTATATCTAAATAATTTACAAATATTGTTGTCGCTCGTCTCTTTATTATAAAAAAATGTTCTCTACAAAGAATACAAAAAAAAAGTATAATTGTTAGATGTAACAAATATACAAAAAGAGAGTAATACAGTGTAATGTATGAAGAAAGCCATGGAACACAGTCTTACAAAGTAATGGCAAATATTTGAAACATACATTGAAAAAGCAAAGAAACTTAAGAAAATGAATACAGGTACGAATTAATATACAAATCAATAACTAAACTATCAAATTTGTTAGCGAAAATGAATTTGATCGATTTTGTTAAATTAAATTTTGTTTAGCGAACATATACGTGCATACATATGCGCAATCTTACACAAACATACTCACATACATGCCTGCCAAATAAACAACAGAATCGAACCAAAAATGTCACTGTTGATCGAATATTGTTTCTTTTTTAAACGCAGGTGGACTTCTGGTGTGCCGTGAGATTACCCTGACAGGAAAAACCACGATTACAAATCTGACAGACGTAAGGTCTCTCCCCGGTATGTCCGCGTCTGTGTATAGTTAGAGTCGATCTTTGTGAGAAAGCCTTAGGACACTGATCGCATTGGTATGGTTTTTCGCCTGTATGAACGCGCCTGTGCATCCTAAGATTTTCCGAATCGGTGAATCCCTTTCCACATATGTCACATACGTAAGGTTTTTCGCCGGTATGAATTCGTCGATGTTTCTTCAAATGTTCAGCACTGCTAAGACTTTTGCCGCAATAATCACAGAGATAGAGTTTGGTTGGATTGTGACTCTCTTTATGGCGAAATAATGATCTCTTGGTAGCAAGAACGCGACCGCATATATCACAAGCAGTACTGGTCGTCACCTTGTTGGCCTTCATGTCTGGATGCATTCGACGGCAATGTGCTGAGAGTTGTCTTCTTAAGAAAAAGGCTGTTCCACAGATTTGACAGTCAAACGGCTTGTCACCAGAATGAATATTATAGTGTTCCTGCAGATCAATAGCCTTACGGAAATGTTTGTCGCATTCGTTACACTTAAACGGTAGATCAGCCTTATCTGTGTGCCGTAACATATGAATGCTGAGAGCAGCTAATACCGTAGTCTCATAGTCGCATTGCTTGCACATGTAACTTGGATAAAAATGAGTCTTCTCGTGCCTAGTAAGATCGCGAAAGAGACGGAATTTTTTTGGACAGTGCTTGCAAGTCAGATCACCAACGGTATGCCGTAACAAATGTTTTCGGTAATTGCTCTTGTGCCGGAAAACCTTGTTACAGGTTTTACAGAGTAACTCCGATTCTGGTTTCTCTTTTTTCACTTTACGACCGTTGTGCTTTTTCATGTGTTTTCGTAGATTAACAAAAGTTTGAAATACTCGGCCGCACTGAGCACAAGTACTTTTACGTTTACCCTTGTGCTCGATCTCATGATTGTCCAAAAGAGTTTGATTGGCAAAAAATACGCCGCATACTTTGCAATTATATGTAAAAGAAAGATTCTCCTCTTCATCATCTAAATCTACTTCCTGTTTTATCACCTTCTGTTGTCCATGATCACTGTCAGCAGTAACTGTTAAATTCTTTCCTGCTTCTTCGCTCGCATCTTCTTTCGGACGCTTTGCTACGGTTGCTCTCTCGGGCTCCACATCCTTCTTTACCAGGTCGAGTTTCGTTAACATTAACATCGAGTAATAGTCTTCAGAAAAGGGCGGTAGCCGGTTGTGGTACCTGAAATGTGAAAATTCAAATGGCCACATCAGTATCTCATATCTCCTATTATCTGATGATCTGTATGTGTTTGTTTGTTTCTTTCTTAGTGATTCTGGCATCCGACAAATTGCAAGAAATCATGCCTCCTGAACATTATTTGACACAATTCAATATAAGTAAAATGTAACTATCTATTTTAACTGCGATTATAAATCCATACTAGGTTTATTTTACGGTCGCAATATTACAGGACTTTGATGATGAATATCGATTGAAATTCTTCGATATCGATTCAAAATGTTTTTAAGAAAATATAAATATCACGTCATATTATGTTACAAAATTTTGTTTACAACAGATTTTTTTAATTCAAAACTTTTTTCTTTCTTTTCTTTTAACAACACCTCGTATTATAAGATATTTATTCTCTCTAATTTTAAAAGGATTACAAAAGATACAAATATATTTGTGATTTTTTTTTTCTTATGTAATCAGACAGAGTTAAGTTGGTGATAAAAAAAAAAGAATAATATTGTAATGCGAAACGCTGTTTAGACAAAAAGAAAAAAGGAATCGCTCGAGATCCATAGATATAGTAGAAGATACGAATCACCTTTTCGATGATGATTTACACTTTCTCAGTAGCACTTAGTAAAAATTAGAAGTTTATTTAGGTTGAACAATCATAACATTGACCACATGTATTTTGTTATGAGCATTCAAGAGTGCTCTAGAGACGAAAGATTTGTTGCAAAGAGTGCACTGATAAGGTCTTTGTCCAGTATGATATCTCTTGTGAATGACCAAAGTGGAATGTTGAGTAAAAGATTTGCCACATGTATCACACGAATATGGCTTTTCTCCGGTATGAGTTCTCTTGTGAACAACGAGAGTAGTCCTCTTGTGAAAAGCTTTGCCACAAACATCACAAACGAGTGATTTCTCGCCACCGTGAAGTCGAAGATGATCTTGAAGTGAACCTTTAGAGGAAACTGATTTTCCACAAAGATGACAATCGTATTTGTTTTCGCCAGTATGTGATTTCACATGTACAACCAAAGAATTCTTATAAGCGAATATCTTGCCACAAAATTCGCACTGATGTTTCATAGGCTTGAAATTAGGATCGTGTACCTTCGTATGTCGTACTAATGTATGATTATTAGGAAACGATTTTCCACAAGAATGACACACGTGTTCCTTGGCACCATGCCTTACGTTCATATGACCATGTAACTCAGCATTCGTGAAGAAGCCTTTATTACATATTTCACAGTATCTAGTATATTTTTCAAAGTGTCGTCTTTGATGTGTCGCCAATTGTGAAGCCTGAACGAAAGCTCGACCACAAACGTCACAAACGTAATTCCTTTCTCGTGTGTGTATTCTTTTATGTACAGCTAAAGTGTTAGTTCTCTTAAAAGATTTGCCACAAACATCACACTGATATGGTCTTGCATCACTGTGTGCAACTAAATGTCCTTCGAAGAGATTCTTCAATTTGAAACGTTTAGTACATTTGTTACACTGATAATAATGTTTTTCTGAGTCTTTTAACAAAGTAACTGTACGATCTTCGACATTTTCCTTCCTCATTTCTTCTTCTTCTTCATTATCATTATCATTATCATTATCATTATCATTATCATTATCATTATCATTATCATTATCATTTTCATCATCTTCATCAACATCTTCATCATCTTTTTCTTCTTCTTCTTCTTCATTAATTTTTTGCATTGATGTGTCCTTTTTTATCATCCAATCGTTTTCCTCTAAAGTGATTTCTTCCTTTATGATGGATTCTATCAGTAACGTATCTTTAGTTGTTTCTTCGACATCTTCGTTTTTTCCCAATAAGCTTTTACATCTGGAATGAAAATAAAAGTTGCGTGGGTCAGTCGTTAAACGTAATGATAACTTTTCTTTCTTTATCTCTGGATCGTTTATAGTTCTGGATGGTCAAATACAACATTGGAATAATTGTTAAGGACATATACGATTTTTAGGGATGTTATTAGGGAACATAACTTTTTTTTCTTATGTTTTAATCAATACTGTACTGTAAATCTATATATATACATCTTCTTTCTTCTTTTTTTTATTCTACCAGACTCGCTGTGTTGTCAGCATTTTGATACAATAGTTTCCTTAGAACTATTAACTTCATCAAAAGTTACAATATAAAACTTTTTATTTAGATTAAATGAACAGTTTAATCAGTTACATCAGTCGATACTCGTTTTACTTTTAGTATCTGGAACTTTCATTTTGGAGTCATATCGAATCTCACGAGTTAGCTTCCTTTTATTACACAGTTTAAATCTGAAAATACAATTATTAATAAATTCACATGTTTTATCTAATTGAAATATTTACAATAAGAACTTACCTGATTATAACGAAATCGAAATAATGAGATAACGGGTTATAAAATCAAAAGAACGTATTGGTGTTTATATATATTTTCTTTTTTGATGATTCGCTTATGATTTTTATTGATTGATTACAAAATATATCATTAAATAGATTAATCTATACAATTAGAATTTTTGTTATTCGTAGGAAAAGCACCATAAGAGTAATTATCTAATATTATAATTATAGATCTAATATAATGCACTTGTATAAAAAAAAAACAATATGCATCAAACAATATCAAATATGCTGAAAAATTGTTTCTGTAAAGGCCATTATTTAAATCATTCATTATCGAAATGAGTCTAGATAAAATTAAAAAAAATAGAGTGACGCAAGAAAAACGCACATTTATGACTCATAATATCTATTTCAAATGCATAATATATATTTAATTTATGATCTTTCCAACATAATCCTAATGTTTTACATCAATCTATGATTTAATCAAATACTTTACTATAAAAATGTGAAATGAATATTTTTTTTATAAAGAACACGAGCTAATAAATATATTTTCTGTTTCAATGAAAAAATTAATGATACAATTAACCAAATTTTTATATATATAAGGCACTATATAATTAATAAAATAATCAAATTTCATTATAAATCTAAATTTGAAGTTAAGCTAGTAAATCAATTTTGTCAAAAAGATAAAATAATAATAAAAATAAATATTAATAAGCGCCTTTCAATATACGAATTTAATTAGTTGTAATAAATTGAATATAAATGATATAATATGCACGGTAAGAGAAATTCTTTCTCTCGTTTATCGTTTTTATATGCTACATTTTACATTTACAATTTACATAACATTCGCGTGCAGAATCTTTTATTAGAAAATACTACTAATTCAACATAGATTCTTTGGTTTAATTACTTGCTGTCATTGTGCGACTTCATGTGAGAACTCAATGATCCTTGTTGGGTAAACCTCTTCTGACAGACTTTACATTCATATGGTTTTTCACCTGTGTGCGTTCTCAAATGCACAACGAGATATTTCTTAACACTAAACGCTTTTCCACATACTTCACAAACGTGTGGCTTTTCACCTGAATGTATTCGCATATGAATTTGCAAATAAGTTTTACTCGATACAGATTTTCCACATATTTCACAAGTTATTTGATTTTCACCATTGTGTATCTTCAGATGTACCTTCAAAGCAGCCTTCCAGTGACTTTCAAAATTGCAGATATTACACTTATGTGTCTCACGTTGACCATGAGACTTGACATGCATATTTAAATAAGCTGAACTTGCATAACAAGTATTACAAATTTTACAAACAAATGGTTTCTCACCAGTATGCGTTAATAAATGTCTCTCTAGTGTCTGATTTGTGTAAAATCCTTTACCACAAATTTTACAATAAGTCACATATTCCTGATTGTGCTTCTTTTTGTGCAAACGCAAATCGTATCCAGATACTTTTGAGATACCACAGACGTCACAAGTAAAACGTTTGCTGTGTTGTTTTAAATGTGTCTTCAAGAATTCTTCGGTTTTGAAACATTTACCACAGAGAGCACACTGATATGGCTTTTCTTGTTGATGAACCTTGATCATATGTTTATGTAACTTCTTTTCATTAAGAAATACCCTATCACATTCTTCGCAACGATTATCGTAGTCCGTAATGTCCTCAGATTCATTTTCATGTTCATGTTTGTGCTTATCAAGTTGAAGCTTCTTTCGGAATTTCTTATTACAAATATCACATTGATAAATAGTTGAATATTTTCGGTTTGGTAAACATTTACTATGATGACGTACATTACTTTTTTCTAGTTCCGGCTTGCAATATATTTTTCTTGTTTTCTTTGAATATTGCAAAGAATCGTTCATTGTAATTTCTTTATTTTCGTGTTTAGATAATTCCATTGTATATCCATCATGTTTTGTCCCATCGCACCTGCAATAAATAACATACATCAACATATGTGAAGAATTTAAAAAAAAAAAAAGAGAGAGAAAAATCTATATGTTCTTGGTCAAAATCTTTTCTTCCTGTTGTTCGTTTTCTTCCAATAAAAATTAGATTTTCAAAGTGGGCATCTAGAAATAATAGATGTTTCTTTTTGATGTGTTAATGAACAAACATCACTTCTCTTGATGGTCAACATCAAACAAATAAACTTCTACTTTAAACTGAAATTTTTTTAAAGAGTTGACACATGTCTTCTTGTGGATTAAAATGAAAAACTAAAAAATATAAAACAATGTATACACCAATCTTTTAAAAACGTTATTAGAATTTGTTTCTTAGCATTCCGTCCTTTACAGTGGCGTATTATTTAAGTGAAATAGTAATACGAAACCATTTATGGATTATAAATAATACTTATAATTTATTTTAAAATGTTATCAATATGATTGAACTATTTACAAGGTCTTTCGAATACGATTTACAAAAACAAAAGATAAAATTTTTTTTCTTTAAATAGATCATAGAAAAATATGTTTGATTTCCCTTCCATAAAATCAAAAAGTATACGATTTAATTTAACAATTATTCTAATAAATAAAAATGTTTATAGTTTATGAATGATTGTTAGTCAATATTGTTAATTAAGTCCATGCAGAAAAAATATATATTACTTTACTTCAAAGTATAAATATAAACGTGTATAAATGAAATATTTTTTGTTTAAATATTGTAAGATGATTGTTTGAGTTCTAATTACAAGATCGACTATTAAATCATTTGGTGCCGTCGTGTCTACGGAGATGTGCACTCAAAGTACCACGTTGTGTAAATCTCTTCTCACAAATCTTACACTTGTATGGTCTTTCACCAGTATGAGTACGTCTATGCTTGATTAAATACTTTCTCGAACTAAATGCTTTTCCACAAAACTCACAAATCTCAGGCTTCTCGCCTGTGTGTATTCTGATATGAGTCTTCATGTATTGCCTTCTTATCAATTTTCCACAAACTTCACAAGCAATTTGACTCTCGCCTGTATGTGTCCAAAGATGCTCCTTATAGCAATAACTATAGAAAGTCTCGAATCCACAAATATCACACTTGTATTTCTTCCTGGTACCAGGCTGACTATGAATTTTCATGTGACTCCTTAAATAAACTCGATTGCCGAATGACTTATGGCAAATTTCACAAGTGCATGGCTTGTCATCAGTGTGCACGCTCATGTGAGTTTTTAATGTTGCTTTCAGATAAAATCCCTTATTACAAATCTTACAAAACTCAGTGAACTCCTTGTTGTGACGTCTGATATGAATTTTTAGGTAATACTCGGAGGTAAGCTTGGCCCCACACACGTGACAAATGTGTGGAGCACCATGAAGAGTTTTGTGGACATTCAAATACTTTTTTTTTTTGAATACCTTATGACATATGTTACATTCAATCGGCCCAACACTTGGTTCAGTTATCAGTCGTGGCTTCGATTTCAATTTTGTTACCTTTTCTTGATTATTTTGTTTCTTTCGTTCAATAATATCCTTGCAATGTGTACGCCGATGCTTGATTAACAACAATTTTTTGACAAATTTTTCACCACAAGTATCACACTCATACTTCTTTTCAGCCATACGCAAAGCTTCTCTTGTTCTAAGAATTGATTTTTCGGTTCGATGCACTAACAAATTTGCTTCAGTATTAAATTCCTCATTACAGGACTCACACTGGTATGTGAAATTAAAGTCAGTAGTATTTTCTTGATGGACAATGATCGAAGATTTATCATTTCTTGTGTTCAGTTGTTGATGCGATGATCTCGTTCGTACTGTCGTAGCAATACTTGTATATCTGAAAAGACGAGAAAATCGATTGAGAGTGATTACGAATCGTCATTGATTTGACTTAAGTGTGTTGTCTTAAATGTTATTTTTATTTATTTTTTTTGTCTTAAAATATCACGATATGTGGATGCCTATCTAAAAAACAAAAAAAAGGAGAAAATAAAAATTTCTTACTTATTTCAAACAAGGTAATTATTTACTTAAAAATTATATCACGCAGTGTATATTCAATTTGTATTATTACTTACTTCGACGTGATTGAATAACCTTCGGTCAACGATGAATCTTAAAAGCCTTCTCTAAAAGTATTTCCATTTCTTAGAGAGACTATAAGAATATGGATCGTATGATTGTTATAAATATCATAAACTAAGTGCTACATTCAATTATCGAAAGTATTATATCAAATCATAATTCATAAAAAATAAACTTTCTTTTTAAAATATAACTATTTATTTAATAGAAAAGAATACGGATGTGACTTTATTTAAGATTTTCCTTACATTAAAGTACACCATAGTATAACAAAATATATGTATGAATAAATATAAATTTATTTGTAAAGACATTTTTTGTTCTACTTGTTTTTTTTTCTGCCACTTGGAAATTTCCGTGTAATTTATAATTATTATGTTTATTATTATTGTTGATAATTATGAACAAATGTATACGTGCACTGTAAAATACAATATTAGAAATATATGACATAATCGAGAATATCTCGATAGTAAGGCACTATAATTTTTAATCATTCAAAAGAAAAATGTATTCGATAGAAACTTCTATTAACGCTCGAATAAACAAAGTGGCATTAAATTAATTGATTATCGCTATAGAAATAGGAACGAAATACGAGTATGCATGATTCTAAGTCTACTACAATAACTAGAAGCAAAATTGAGTATTAAAGATAAATAGTGTATGCATAAAAATTAAAGACAATATGGACGGCTCAACACTTGGAATAGGCCAAGTTAATAACATCTGTCAAAATAATTTTTTTAATAGCAATAAGAAATACAATAAATAATCTTCAATAAAACAAAAGATAATAACTTGGATAATCATCACTTAGATTATTACTTATCCTTTTTTTCACAAATTCTCATAGAGCACGTAAAATTGTTGTTTTTTTTTAAATAATTTAAAATAAAATATAATAAATAATAGATAATATTACAATTTAAATTTAAATTTAGTGTCAGTATTAACATTGTACTTTCACGTGGTCCCTAAAGTGAAAATTTAACAAATTTACGTCTTTGACGTATAACGATGTGAAGAAACATAACATAAAAATAAAAACAAATTTAAACAATGAAAAAATTCCTAATTATTTAAATGAAACAACATTTCGAGCCAATCGTTTAGTATTATTTTAACTCGGCAACAAAATCGTCACAGTATCAAGAGATTGTTGTTCATGTTGTTGAAGCTGTTGTTGATATTGTTGCTGTTGCAATTCTCTTCTTTGCTGTTCTTGTTGTTGCCGTGCATTTTGTTTAGCGTGAGTCTTCAAATGAGAATTCAGCATGGTCTTAGAAGCAAAAGACTTGTGACAATAAGTGCAAGGATACGGCCTGTCCCCGGTATGTCCACGCAAGTGTACAACCAAAGAGGTACGTTGTGTGAATTTTTTCTCACAATGTGTACACTTATGACGTCGTTCGCCCGTATGGGTACGTCGATGAACACTTAAATAGTTTTGCGATATAAAACCTTTCCCACAAAAATCACAAACGTGTGGTTTCTCGCCGGTATGTTTACGCAAGTGTACCGTCAAATAAGTTTTACTGGAGACAGCCTTACCACAGATAGGACAGACATATTCATTGGACGGTCCAACGTTTCCATGTGTCTTCATATGTACTAATAATACTTGTTTTCTAGAGAAACGCTTATTACACAATTCGCAATGATGTTTCTTCTGAGGTGGAATGTAATCAGGCTGATGAAGTTTAGCATGCAGTCTAAGACCCTGACAATAACGAAACGTTGCATTACAAATCTCGCATTGAAATGGTTTTTCGCGAGAATGCAACAGTTGGTGATCTTGATAGCTATTACGTGTCGTGAAATCAAGACCACAGATCTCGCATTGAAACCTTAATTCAGGATTGTGACGTTTTTTATGAATAACGAGACTGTGTCGATGTATAGTGACATAATCGCAAAATTCGCAACTGTAGTTTTTTTCCGGTGTCGCGTGTTCCTCCTGATGTTCTACCAGTGCTAATGACGTTGGATAATTGCAACCACAGTGCTCGCAAACAAACGATTCATCCGGTACCTGTTCGTGACTTTGTAGATGTAAAACTAAAGCGTGTTCGTTGACGAATACGTCACCACAGAAAGTGCATCGAAGTATCGTTTCCTCAGGCATCATTGCTTCGGCATTTTCCATCTTTGCTACATCCAATGGATCATTCATCAACGTGTTGCTGCTTTCAACGCTAAAGACGTTTTTCATTTCGTTGATACCACATTGCTGTTGTTCCTGAGGCTGATGATGTATCGTGATCTTTGAGTCAAAATATCTGGAAAGAAGAGAGACACAAATAGGAATCAATCAATGCTCTAATTCTGTCAATCTTTCGTACTTTTGACTTTTTTCTTCTTTAAAAGGATTCTTACATCTTAAGCAGGATATTTACAAGGATGATTACCGTATACACGAAATCGTTTTCATCGTTGGACAATAAAAAGTACTTTGATAATCTTATACCATATTTTGTGTTTAATTAATGTAGCTCTCTCTCTCTCTCTCCCTCTCTCTCGCTCTCTCTCTCCTTTCTCTTAGCGCATACCTGTGTCTCTCTTCTCGCATTTAAAACTTGTGTATGTCGTAAGGATTTGGAGTAGTACTTATTTATAAATCGAGGAAAAGAAATTGTACCTCTTGTATTATCTCTTGAGTATTTATTTATTCATTCATCGTAAAGAATAGTTTAGATCTGCTTAGCCATCTATTACCACGAAAAACTGAAAAATATTTGTTAATATTATTAAATTATATATAAAACTACATAATATACGATAACCGAAGAAATAAGATGATTTCTACTCATTCCTTAGAAATAGTAGACATACTCTATATAAAGATACGAGTGATTACCATACGTCGATAATTGCAAGTGACTTTACCGGCGTGCTATTTAACAGTAGAATACTTTACTTTTTTTTTATATTTTAAAAATTTATAATTTTTTTTGTATATTACGAGCTTAAATTTAAAATAAATAATAATACTTATTCGTGAATATATATTTATGATGTAACATTTACAATAACTTTAATCCGACATAAAAGGTACATCGATAGGTGATGAAAATAGTTTTTAACGATTATTCACCACCGATTATACGTATATATAATTATATTAAATTTTTTCTTGCAGTTACTAATACTATCAATTAATTAGGTACAAATGTATAAACATTTTTATACTTACGTTTTATAAACACTTAGTGTATTATAGCGGCAAAATTTGGCCCGCTTGCAGTCATGAAAAGCACCTAATTTTGTCGAAAGTTTATTTTTTGTTCGACTATTGTGATACTACGCAGTTTAAACCTAAGAACGTCGTCTTAAATTCGTATATATATATATATACTGCACATTTCAAGTTAAATTGCATTTAACTTCATAAATTTCTCATTAATTCCCGTAATCTCAAAAGTTACGTACACAAAACGTACGTGTCACTTTCTTATATATTCATTAGTTTTAATCCACATGATGTTTTAATAAGATAATTAAGAAAAATTAGGCACATGTCTTAGGCACGTTAAACTTCAAATGAAATCTCAATATATCCTATACAGGTACAAAACACAATTCTCGCGAGTAATTAACAAACTCGAACGAGATAATTACCTAAACGTATACTACTCTGCATTATCCATTAATATTCCTGTTTAGTTATTTTTGTATTTCTATCTAAACATGTATTTTATTATATGCCTCTTTACGTTCAACGATAAAAATTTCTCTCATTTGATTGTTTAATAATATGATAGAGGCATTTCAAACGATATCACAGAGATCATATTAGACACTAGAAGCTAAGTATCAAATAATTATCTCATTTTTTGACGATATTGCATTACACTAACACAACCTGTTAGAGTCTTCAAAACTCCTTATAAAATTAACATCGTTATATACAAAAGACAAATAAGAAAAAAAAATAATATTAATAATAATTCCAGGTACTTCGAATATTCAATTAATAAAAAAAAATGTTCAAAATAATCATTCTACCTATTTATCTTACCTTAAACTTCCTTGTTTTTCCAATTTTATATGTGTGTATATGTACATACACATAAATATATAACCAAAAAAATCTTCATTTAAGCTATCACGAGAAACAATTGTTTAGATAAAATATCCTTTTCAATGTTTCTTCATATGATTAAGCATAATAGTTCTAGTAACGAATCCCTTCCCACAAAGTGTACAAGTGTATGGTCGTTCTCCAGTGTGATAACGACGATGAACCGTGAGGGTAGATGCTTGAGTAAATGATTTACCACACATGGCGCATAAGTAAGGCCTCTCACCAGTGTGAATACGTTGATGAACGACATAATATTTGCGATGAGTAAAACCCTTGCCACAAACATCGCAGACTAATGGCCTGGACCTGTGTACAGCCTTGTGACTGGTGAGGGATTCAATGGTGGTAAATTGTTTTGAACAAGAGTCACAAGGATAAGAGACTGTTGTCAACGATTTGTTGACATTAGCAGCAGCCACCGTTGAAGATGGAGGATAACTGACAATGGAAGGGTTAGTTCCAGTAACCGTAAGATTAGGATCTGTTAGAGAGACTGCATTGCTGTCTATTGCGAGTCTGTCGTTGACATCGATGCTAGGTTTGTGAGTTTTAGCATGATGATTGTAAAGATTACGCGTCTCAAAACGCATAAGACATCTTGGACAAGAGTAGGGTTTCTCCTGTCCGAGTTCGTGCATCCTTCGGTGACGTTCCAAGAGTGTACGGTATCGAAAACTCGCTTGACATCGATCACAGCCAAAAGTTTTCTCGACATTGCCTGTAGCAGCACCAGCAGGTACGACGACGGACATACCGGACATCAATCCGGTAGTAGAGTTCGTGCCACGAGAAGTAGGCACGTTCGACGTAGGTGCACCTAGCACCGATGAGGAATGCGGCGCGAGTTCGTGTGTCGTCTCGTGCATCCTTAGGTGCGCAAGAACGAAGAAACTCCTCGGGCAAACGGAGCACGAGTACCTCGCCGTAATTTCGACATTTTGTTGCTCGTACTCCGGCCGCCTCGGGTGACTCGTTTTCACGTGATAATTTAATTTCAGAGTACTACGAAACTCAAGACCACAGGTAGGACAGGGATAGGACTCCGGGAGGATGAGCTGCGACTGATCCATCAGAAGACCACCTTGATCCGGATAGATCATTGAGAGATGAGATGGTATCGTTTGTAAAGTCGCTGAGGATAAAGTCAATGGCATCATCGACGATTGATTCGAAAAGATCGAATTTGTCTGGAGAAAATTACAACCGATCGCCGTCATACCGGCCTCTCCCGTCTCGGGTGAAGGCGACGGTGAAAGTATTTGTCGTAGCATCCCTGATAATCCTCCGAAAGTTTCGCCACCCCCTCCTCCTCCTCCTCCATCCCTGAAATCGACAAAAGCCAAAGATATTGCGGCAAAGAGAAATAACCTTCAATTAACACGCAGATGGTATGCTTTTTGTTTCACATTTGATTCTTCGTGTTCTTTGCTTGCTTTCATCTTGCAACAAACAGTGAGCCAGAGATAGATAGAAAGAAATAGAAAGAAAGAGAGAGAAAGAGAAAGAGAGAGAGGAGAGACAGAGAGTGTGTGAAAAAAAGAGTTGATGCTTGAATACGTGTTTTTTCAGTTTCATCCACGTGTATGTGTATCAATGTAAGTGTATTATTTTTGCAAAGTGATTATAGTGCAAAGTGCGTAAGTGTTATTGAATTATTTAAAAAAAGAAAAAAAATATATAAGACATGTGAAAAACGAGAACACATGTGCGAAGTTGGAAAAGTCACTGTCTAGTTTATCTTTGCCCGTTATTGACTTATGATTAGAGCTCGAATTATTATATTCTGCAAGGGGAAACTGCAAGGGAAAACTGCGAGGGGAGAAAGATAGTATATATGTAGAGAAAAGAATGAGAAGTAAATAGAGAGAAAAATAAAAGAGAATAATAAAGAATAAATATAAATAAGAATTGTAGCATAATCCGATATTAAAAGCGAAATTTTAAAATATTGCCCATTGGTGGTATTCTTCGATCCTTGAAAGAGATAGATTATATATAAAAATATGTTAAATATCAAATAATTGAAAAAAAAGAGCAAAGTCTCACCTTTGGTATGACATTTCTTGTGTAATCTTCGACTGGTAATTCTTAAAATAGACTGCATATCAATTTTTCTTATTCGAACACTTATATTCTTTTTTTCACTACAACCTCACGATTGAATACGTAAAACGTAAAAATGGTACGTCTTAACGCTTCAATGACGGATTACATAATACAATTGTCAAGTTAGCTCTTATATTTGTCGGAAGGGTGTGGAAAAAAATTACACCGGTAAAAAACCGACGAGACGAATTTAAGTTCGTAAATAATTACAAACCAAATTGTCGTCGAAAAACGCGTTTGTTCTTCGCTAATTTCGAAAAGCGGAAAAGTACGTTGAAACCCGAACGCTGCTATCGCTGCCAAATGAAATGCGGCGCGAAAGCGCGAAAACGCGAGAAATATAAAAATATTATAGATCAATGTATGGCGCAAAATGCAAGCCACGTGTGTACGAAAGATTAACATAAATTAAAATAAATCGGATGCTCGTAAGATTCTTTTTTTTTTAAATGAATTGAGCAAAATTTAACAAAATGAGCGTACTCGTATTGTATATTGCAATCGGATAAAGTCCACGAATTGGTTGATATCTCAACGTCAAGATGATGAACAAAATAAAAGATCTAACGTCAAAATAGAGACGTCACGATCGATCACCTTCTTGGAGATACAAATAGAAATATATAAAACAAATATATGCATACGATTATTCGTTAAGCACATAATAATATAAATAAACAAAAAAGAAACAATTGAACTAATAAACACTAATCACCTTGTAGATTAACAATATAAATTAAAGAGATACTCGCCTGAAATAAGAGTTTCTCCACGTAGAATCCTAGTTTATATTTTGTTTAGAGTGACGTATACACTAGCTTGTTTCCTCTTCTCGTCTATCTTCCTGCATTTCGAGCAATTTTAGTGTCGCGTGCGACTTCCTTCGAAATTCTCGTCGATTGAACGTATGTTTATATCAAGGGATACGTTCCATTCTTATTTTTTCTTTCGTATGTTTTGGTTATTTTTGGTTTGCAGATTACGATGCACTTTTATCATATTTAATTTCTTCATATTCAATAAAATAGAATTTAACGGAAACGTATTATGTTATATATGTATCGTATGTAAGGAGACATGTATATCTCTCTACGAATGACATGTCTCCATGTATATTCAAAGAATCGTCGTCGTATATCAAGTGATCGCACTTAAAATATAGAGCGCAATTAACGAATCAATGTGATCTTTGACTATAATTGTAAAAGCGGAGGCATTCGAAAGCACGAGAATAACGATATATATGTATATACAGTCGCGTTGGTAAATAAGTTAACGATCAATATGTAGAAAAATTGAAGAAATTAATGGAATATGTTTAATGGGATGATTTAAAAATATATATATAGTATAGAATTGAATAAATGGGTATTCAAAGATAACAAATTTGTATCGATAAAGAAAATAAAATCAAAATATGCAATATAAATACAATAATAAAATTGGAAGTAAGTTAACGCATTTTCTTAATTAATTTCATAAATGCTTGATGAGACTCAAGCCCAAATATTGTAGTAGTACTTTCAATACATTTGTATTGGTTACGTGTTTGTATCTTAACAGGCTAGTATTGTTACCTTGGTTTTATGCTTAAAATCATTTCCTTTTTGGAAAACATAATTATATTGTACTCCAATTTTCTATGTAGAAGAAAACATAATTTTGCAATTATTCTGCATATTGTTCTGCTATCAATGATTACCAGGTTTAGTTACCAGGTGTATATTAAAACATCATGACATAACAGAATTATATCTATGATTAATCATTTTTTTCCTTCCTTAAACATACTGATGTCTAATATTATTAAACATTTTTAATTGTAACTTGTCGTTCCAAAAAATAATTTCAAATACTCAATTGAATTTTCTAACTATTTGTGGCTGTGAATTTTAGACATTTCAGTAATAATTACTTTTTAGCTTGCAGTCATGTTTTCTTTCTGCTCTTGGGATTAAACGAAACATCCCTTCTCTTTAATATGATCATATGTTTAATGTGAACTCCTAATTTTTATAATTTATATATTTACTTTACAGTTGAAGATAAGAAATATCCATCTTTATTGGGCTTAAGCATCTTCAATTTCACTTTAGCAAATCATTCTCTATTTCTTATCATATTTAACAAAATAATAATCATTAGTATTTAAAAGTAAGTTATGAATATGATGTGTTCAATGTATTGATAAGTATAAAAATAAATATTGCAATGATTATTTAGAACAAAATCCGAAAGAATTATACAATCGTTAACTTACTTTCCGATGATTAAATGTATTTTTTCCTGAATGATCAATTTTACAAATTTTTTTATACTATTATTAATAACAGAGTACATTCTGTCATTACTGACTAAATTAATAATTGACTTCAATTATTTTTTACATAATTAATAATTTTTAAATATTGCATTAACATACTTACTGGCGCGACTATATTTAAACGAACGTTATATTCATATTAATGTGGAAGAACTTGGCGATATTTATTCCTCTGATCGACCAAGCATTCGTAATGAGCGTGAACGATTAAACTTATACTTAATCAATCGGTTTGTGACTTTTTGAATCGACCGATTTGATGGTCGTGTGCGGCATTTTGTGCCTTCACGTAAGCGTGGGTATATTAATATCGACAACATGTAAACATCTTCCTTTTCGACTGGACAGAGAGTGCCATAATATGTTTGTTTAATCTAAGAATTCAGTATATTATTCCGATATAGTATTTTATTTATAAAGTTTCTACATGTTTTCAAAATAAATTTATATAGAAGAACCCTCTGTCCACTGATCGTACACGTATATACAATAACTAGGATAGTGATCGTTTTAATGAGAATTAATAAATAATTATGTGTCAATCCCTAGATATTATATTAGCGATTAATATAGAAATATTATTCTGTTTCCCCTTAGAACGAGCACTATATACATGCGAAAACATGTAAATATGAGAAGGTATTTAGCAATTTACAATTTTTATTTGATATATTTTTCTTAGAGAATTTCTATGTTTTTAATTGATATCATTTATATAGAATAAATAAATTACAAAAACTTGAAGGATTATTTTTAATAAAAACTTATTCAAATTGCTAAATATCCAGAGCCAAAGGTGGTTGTGGTTAGTGTAAGAACTTACCTTAAGTTTATAAGAATTAACCTCTTAATATATATATATATATAGATATCTTTTTTAATTACCTACGAGTTTAACTCGGAGGATTTCTATACAAAAATAAAATAAAATAATTAACTATATTTTTAAATTCGTATAAATCATTTATATAGAAATAATTTGTTCACCTAATTAGAGTTCATTGAACATTGCAACGTAAAATAAATAAATAAACACCATATAAATATTTTATACAGTTACAATGTAATCAAATAATGAATATAAACAAATTTTTTTTTCTTTAAAATCATTAAGTCATTTAATCTGAAATATTGCCTTTTTATTATATGAAAGGCAAAATTTGGAATGTGAAATGAAATAAGTTCAATGGTTTTTATATAAATGTTTGTGTGATTGTTTGTAAATGCCACAACCTATACACCTTTGACCTTTATATAATTAAATTATATGAAAAAAAACTCACCCAGATTTAGGATCTCCTTCTGCATTTTGTTGCATTGCCATTTCAGGTATCTCAGTAACTTTCTGTTGTTGAAGTCCCGAAGGTCCAGCTTCATCACAGGCTAATGAAACGTTTACAAATGTTGTTGGTTCAATAACTCTGCTATTGTTCGGATCTTCTTCATTTTCTTCTTTAACAGGTAGGCCTTAAATATAAACACAATGTTCGCATTTAGACAACTAAATCCATTCGTGCAAAAATATTATTTGGACTTCAAAACAAATAGATAACATTGATTAAAAAATAAATAATAATAAAATTACCTTCATCTCCATCACATTCATCTTCCGAATTTTCTTCTTCTTCGCTACTCTCTTCCTCTTCTTCTTGTTGATTACTCGTGTTAGTTTGACTTTGTGTGATTTGTTCGTGCGTAGATTGAGTACTTGTACCAGGCATTTCTTGCACAGATTGTACAGAACTAACGCTTGTGTCCATAGGAACTGAGGTTATTTGTTGTTGATTGGTCGAGGACATTATCATGGGGATACTCAGATTTATGTTGTCCATCATACCCATACCTATATTGTTTTGATGCTCGCTTACTTGCTGCATCATACTTCCATCTAATCTGTTACCACCGTTTGGATCTGATTTCATTATGTTCTGTGTAATCAAAAGAAAGAAAACATATTTTAGTCATTAATTTCGTTTGCGAACATATCACTATATAAATAATATTTACAATTCTAATTTAATAAAAAATGATTTTCTGTATTGTATTCTTGTGAACACACTATATAGAATGAACTATAAGATGGACAACAAAAGAAGAAAAAAATATTATTTAAAGAATTCTCACTTATAGGAGACAACTATGAAAATGTATTTTTTATCCACTGCTTATAACAGTAGTCAAGGGAACCATACAAAAGAATATCCAAAAAACAAAAAAATATCTATACTTTCTAATGCTCGATCGATAACTTACTTTATTGTATTTTTTTAATCTTTCATAGAAATTAGAAAATTGTTTATAACATTCAATATCGCAACAAGTAAATATCACGTACCTGATTGAGAACATTTGTAGCATAATTTGGTTTGTCTTCCAAACCATCTTCTCCCAACCATTCTAAGAATTTCTTTTGTGAACTAGCAGACGTATTCCAAAAGTCATAAATAAATTCTACTTTATACACGCAGTCATTACATATTTTCTTAGGTAACTTGTCTTCTCTATCAACCTGTAAATAAAAAAAAGAAAAAATTGTTGAACTCAAAAACACTTTTAATATACATAGTGTATATAGTTTGCTTCTGACCGATTAACATATTTGTAATATGAGTGTACAAAATGCTTATGAACAATCGATTTTGACCACAGTAAACACTTCCACTTTGAGCATTTCGAGTATGTTTACGTAGTGACTAAATCAAAATCGGATCATTTCTCTGAAGAAATTAAAACATTGGATTAGAAATGAGAAATAAAAAACCATTAGTTCCTATTTATACAAAAATGAGCATATTTTTAAAGTAAGGAGTGTGCATCTGATTCAACAAAATGTCGAAAACATTCGCACGATCAATGTCCTCCATTTCTCAATTTTGCCAATGTAAATATTTCATGGAATAATTATTCTCTACGTTTATATTAAGAAACGAATTATTAATTTTACAATACGCGCGAATCATATAATAAAAATGTTAGAAACGTATCATGAATAATTAGAAAACAAGAAAAAAAAATGCGCGGTAAAAATGTATCAAGGAATTTGTGGCGTCGTGAAGAAAAGAAAGATGAAGATATATATGTACATATATATACATACACAAGTATGAGTCGGATAAAGATAGATAGCTAGATAAAAAGAGAGAGATAGAGAGAAATGAAAGGACGTATCCACAGCATAACAGCATTGTCGTTGTTGGATCGCCTTAATTTCGCTTAAAGGCATTTGAGGCGCGTTTCGTGTCTGAAATGTGTTTGCATCTGGTAGAAATATACCGGGAGTCCAAAAAGTTAGGACATTGATTATAAGAGCGTTGAAGCGGTAAGGCCGCGAAAAAGGCAACACCAAGATGGCGATTTCTTTGTGGAGGGAGGGTTTACGTATGTGATGACTATGGCGCAGTTAGCTTACCTTGACCGGTAGGCAGGCGGTTATCTTGAGATAAATTTGTCTTGTATCACCCTCGCCCTCAAAAATCGGCACAGTAACACGTTCCTTCACGAGACAGAGTCGACACAAGTCGAGATAGTTGAGGGAAGACATTTTCCCATGTAAAACGCCAGCTCGAGACTCAAAAGCCGCGCCCGTAGACGCGAACACTTTCTTTCAACCGAAGCCGAAGAAGACCTTACAGCGTCGTTCGTATACGCGTCTCGTTTCCTCCCTTCTACGTTTCGTTAATGCTCGGTACTTTCCGTAATACTTCGACTCCCTTCGGTACTCTTCGTTCGCATTCGTTACCCCGACGACGTTCGTTTATCGATCAGAACTGCTTTGTGATTCGTTACTCAAGCCAACCGCCTTTATACACGAGGCTTTCCAAAACGACGTGTAATGTTCCTTTTTCCTCTCGTCCTACTTTTGACCAATAGCGTCGCTTATCTGAGCATTAGTTTTACGCGCTTTTTTTTAAATTTATTTTTCAATTGTTACTTGTTTTTTTTATCTTATAAAATTTTTCTTTCTATTCTGCTAATGTATTCTATATTGCGTTTAACAATTAAACGATGTTATATTACAAATTATTTATCGTATAATACAAATTATAAAATTACAATAATTAAAACGTATTTAAGTACAAAAGTAAAAGTAACAAAATATACTGAAATATCGTTGCAATTGTAATACTAATGTAAGGAAGAAAAAAAAAACGAAGAAACTAGCACATATCCATTTCGATTCCATCGATCGAACAGGTGTTTCAGAGGTTGTCCGAGTTACCGCTGTATATTAAGTTTTCATGCCCTATTACTCCCACTACGAGAATATGTACGATCGAATAACGTCTGTCAGCAACGATTTTGTCAAAGCTTCAGCATGATAAATCGTCTTTCCCTCAAAGCATCGTAGAGGTATAAGAATTTATTGGTATTTAAAATAAAAAATCTAATTACCAATAAAAACGAATATATAAAATATTATTAAAATGATTTTATATAATATTTAATAAAATAATAAAGATACGACGCGCCACGTCATTGATGCACAAATAAGTGTCTCAGGATCTCATAAGGTTAAGTACGGTACTGCGCGTATAATGATTCAACAATGGCTGCACGGAATCGTGGGAGGAGGATAAACATAGTACCGTCACGTTTCTTTGTCATTGCGGCTCAGCAAGTAACCTCTCTCGATGCTGTTAAAGATATCAATGACCTGTCCTGCCCTTTCCAACTTGCCTCAACCTTGTTTTCGCATTCATAATACTCGTATTCATATACTGTATATATGTATACAAAAATCAAATGCGAAAAATCCGATAAATTTTGGCTGACTTGTATCTTTTGGATTTATTTCTGTTTGGGTCACGTAAAGCACAACTGCATTTTTTTAGATTAGAAAAAACTGCTTTATTGTGGCAGAGCACATGTATTTACGTATAATATATATACGTGTATACACATATACAATTTTATATTCGTATTTTATATGTATGTGTATACACACATACATACATATATATAATATGTATATATATACCAGCATATAATTAGGAAGTCCATAGTAATTTACAAAGTACGATCCACTTAAAACGTCAGTACACGTGGCGGTGTGTGCAGGCAGATTTTTGGAACCTATTTCGAATCGCACGAACGCGTTTTTAGCCTTTATCTCCTTTCCCGTTTTATTTTTCTTTATATTATTTCTTTTGCCTAATAATTCAGTTGTTCAACTCGATGTCTTTACACAATTTATTTTATTTATTTATGTACGTATTAATATGTGTATGTATGTATGTATATGTACGTTTGTATGTATGTATTTATATGTATTCATGTATTTACGTTTCCCTTTTTTTTCTCTTTCTTTTTATTACGAATATTCGGCGTTGATGCATTATCATTGTCTTATGATTTTGTGAAACATCGTGTTTTTTTTAAATAAAAATTACATGAAAGTGAGGGATATGTGGTTTCCTATCAGATTTTGTTTACATCGAAATCGCTCATTAAGGCGCGTAAGCTGAAAGGATTAGATTTCTTTTTTAAAATTCTCTTCTTTGTTATCATTTGTCTCGTTCGTTCGTATATCCAGTAAAATTTGTTACTATTCTTCTTTATCTTACAGATAATTATACGGATAATATTATAAATACGTAATATATGTGTGTTTGTGTGTGTGTGTGTGTATGTGTGTAAGTTTTCTTTTTACAAGTCTCGTTTTTCGAAATATAATTTATGTATATATGTAAATTATCGACTTCCTTTTCTTTCTTTCTATCTTTTTTCTTTCGCAATTGTCGGGGAGAGGAAACTGAACGAGATGAATTTTACTATTTCTAGCGTTGTAATGAAAAATGTTGCATGGTTTTTTTTTTATACAAACTATCCATCTATCATTCATTTGATCGAAATAAGTACCGTTAATAATTCTTAATAAGTCTTAATTATATCTGAACATATTTTTTTTAAATACAAGGTCTGGAAGATCAAATATGGTTTTTCTGTCTCTTTTTGTTCTTTTTTTTCCTCATTTTCTTTTCCTTTCTTCACCCTTCTTTTTTTATTTACAAAAATCGTAAAATAAATAATTTGTCGCAACAGCGAACAATGTAAGTATTATATGTAAGTATTTTTATATATATATATAAATATATAAGGAGAGAGAATAATATTAGATAATAAATGAAAAAGCATACATAATTTGTAAGGAAGCATAATAGATTGTATTGGCAAAAATTGTAGTGATACGATCACCATGAAGATATTGTTAATCTTATTATTATCATCGTGAACTAATGGTTGTCCCTTTGCACGAATTTTTTTTAACATTTGGTCTTGAACACCCTCTCCCTTCCTTCAACATTTCTCACATTCTCATCCTATGAACGAATTAATTAAGATTACAATAGGGTTTGCATGCTTTTCTTTCAAATGATCGTGACGAATACGTAATTAACGAATTTGTTATTTTTTTTCTTTCTTTTGCTCGTTTTTTCTTTTTTACTCAATTATATTCGTTTCACTTATAAAATTTCATAACTAGTAATTTTCTTAAAGACTACTTATGCTATAACACTAATAGCAACATTGCGCGAATAAATGTGTCTTGATTATTCATGGATTCCTTTTTTTTGTTTTGTTTTTTTCCTTTGTTGATTAATTTTACACACTCTTCAACAGTTTTAACGTAAATTTACAGCAATCATAAGTATTACCGTATTACTGCGTGTGTATATATATATATATATATATAGTTAGTATACTATACATATATATATATGTGTATGAATTAATGCAAACAGTGCTTCTTGTATTTTGTATCTCTTCTCTTTCTCATTTTTCTCTTCTCTTACTTTCTTTCTTTATGGTGTTCGTTATTTGCTAATGTAAGATTCAAAATTGCGTGAAAACTTTTTATTTTCACATTGCTAAATATTGAATTTATATCATTATCGTTATTTAATTTATATACATGCGTTTACGTTTTTGTGCATTAAGAAAAATGTGTGGTTGATTTAAAGAAATTTTGACGGAGAGTCTATGAAAGATTCAATCAATGATTACTTTGTTTTTTTTTTGTTTTTTTTTTAGTTCACGTTATCGCGATATGGTAATCGAGAAAGGAACATTATCTTACAGCGAGACGAAAAGCATAATAGAAACTAGACAATTTTGAAATGCAAATATTATTAACAATTTTTTTTCTTTCTTTTCTTTTTTTTAAAGTGCACATAATATTTTCATTTAAAAGTTAAAATTTTCTTTTTCGATGAATTATTTCAATTGTAAAAAGGAAATATTCATGATTATTACAATAACTTATTTTTTTACGATTGCATTAATAATATACATATGTTATGTAAAATTGTTGAATTGAATTACATAAACTGCACCCAAAGAAAAAATTTTTATATATCAAACGATAGGAAATTTTGAATCGCTCTAATCATTAATTGTTTAATTATAACATACGATGTTAACAAAATATCTTATTTTCATATTTTTTAGACAAACAATTCGACCTTTTTCTTTCTTATAAGAATTCCATTTTTACACAAATTTATTTAATAAAACTTGCGAAGTGACTCATTAAATATTCTCAAAATTACGTTGACGACGTACTCAGATTCTTTGAACATTTCTTCTTTTTTTTTTTTGGTATTTTTTTGTTTGTTTTTTCGTTTTTTTGTTTTTTATATAAGAGATATTATATTAGAGATAAAATGCGATCTTTTTGCGTCTCGAGTAAGCGGTCATCTATGATTTTAACATTAAAGTTTAATTGTTATTACTAAAAAAAAGAAATTTGAAGAGTGAGCTTTACGTTTACATTAACATATATATGTATATATATATATATATATATAGAGTTATATATATGCATATACATACATGTATAAGTCATAGAATTCTAAATATATCGGCATATTTTATTGTACATATCTTATTTCTGTATCTTTGAATTATCCAAAACGCTTATTTACAAGTTTCAAACTAGATTCGAAATTTTAACTTCCATTCCTGTGTATCTTAATAATATATTACAACATTATATTACAATCGATAGGTAGCGTCTTACGAAGAGCATATTTTATGTATTCACCCTGGTTGTAAGATTATTTTTAATAGATTTGTTATTCTCTTTTTTCTCTCCCACTCTCTGTCTCTCTCTTTCATCTCATACGTGATATTTCATCATGGTCGTTTCATAATATTGCGATAGATAAAAAATCATTTTTTTTTCTTTTTCTTATAACTACCCTGATACACTGAAACATAGTAAATTTCGTTTTATAAATACTAAACGTGTAACGTTCTATTTTATCAGAACTGATAATTCGAATCCTATCTATAATGAGAATGTGCGTACGTTAATTGTTGTAAAAAATAATGAACAAATTAATTTTATGTAAACTGTAATCAATATAAGAAATATATTACATATATTTATATATATTGTTACTGTGTTGTTGTTGTTGTTTTGAAGTAACAAGACTTTACATAGGAATCATTACGTAACGCAATAATTGATTATTTTGATCGATTTGATTGATATATATTTGTAATATTAGAATATCGAAATTTTTCACAGGAATAATATCATTTTTTAAGTTTGTAAAACGGTGTAATTAATCAGCTCGTTAATTAATCAATCAATCAATTAATCAATCTCTCCTAATAATTGTTCATCATTGTCACATGACTTGTTTTTTGTTAACATAGTGCAGGAAAAATTCGGATTAATTTGTCGCGAGATTCGTTTGTATGTATAGATGTATTTTTTTGTATGTGTATGTATGTATGTATGCATGTAAGAAGTTCGTATCAATGGGAGATATAGATTTTGATTGATATATTTAACTTTAGGTTAGCTATACGTTTCGAATGAACGTCCGAAATGAAATAAATCGGTAACAATGATTAATCGGATGATTAACTATAAATTCGCATAATCGTGAAATTCTTTATCTTCTTTTTCTTCTTACTATCTACGGGTTCTTTTTTGTACTTGCCCGCACTAATAATATAATCATTTAGGAGAAATTTAATCATCGTTCACATGTTCTTTTTTTTGTTTTGACATTTAAGCAGGCACATCATTTATAAATTGAACGTGATTTTGTTTCTAAAGAAATTCTTTACGTATAAGCCGATTACGCGGCCTTTTTTCTATTTTAAATATTAAGCGAAGAGATAAGATTTGACTTATTAGCGTTAAATAACGATTTCTGTGTAGCAATCGTTCTTTCTTTCTTTCTTTATTTCTTCCTTTTTTTCGCGCGTTCTATATTTTTTATTTTTTATAATTTTTTTTCTTCATTGTTTTCATTATTATTCTGGATTCGGATTTTAAAACGCATTTCGGAATCTTATTTTAAAATATTGTGTATTATCGATCGATTAATATTCATCTTAAATGGTTTTTAAAAAGAAGGCATTTGGTGCTACCAATAATAGAGAGATATTTCCGGGAAAACGGGTTCCAGGGTAGACAATTTTCGATGGTCGTTCTATTATTATTATTATTATTACTATTATTAGTATTAGTGTATATTAGTATTATTATTATTATAGTTATTATTATTTTCTTTTTCTTTTCTTCTTCTTTTGCACATGGCATCGTTTTTATAAGCGAAATATCGTACTACAAAGAAAAATTATTCACCGTATATTTTATGCGAACCTTATTATTTTCTTGTATATTTGTCACAGCTAACTATTAAAAATAAATAAATAAATAAATACTGAAAAAAATATGTACACACACATATAAATAAATAAATACACACATCAATACG